TGGCCCTGACCAGCTGTAAGGCTCTATATTTGCAAAAGAAAATGATTTATTACATCAGCATGTCTTATAACCGTATTTTCTTATCTTACTAATACTCACTTGACCAATAATAATTTCGTCCACATCACTATTTTTTATTTTGCTTCGCTTCAATACTTCTTTAATAACTATACTACCAAGCTCGGAAGCTTTCAATTTAGAAAGTGATCCATTGAAGCTACCTTTAATCAAAAATTATTGAACGAGTTCATGTTTTAAATGTAGTTCTTTAAAGCTGTTGCTTACCAATGGCTGTGCGCGCAGCGGATACAATATAAACATCTCCCGTGTTCACCATGTTACTAAGTACTCATTCAGATTTGTAATGAATATAAATTATTAAAACTACTAAAGGCACTTGATTATATACTAAAGTGCCAAGCTAAAGCGCTTGATTTAGAGAGTGCTTGCACGATAGTAATGAGATTTTAACGATCGATTAATCGCATTTTGCATAAAATAGCGGTGTTGATAAATCGATACACCTAATATCATCGATTCAAGGTCAAGGAATTATCAATCATATAAAGAGATGTCCTCCGCGGTTTATCGATAAATCATCGGTTGATCTGAAAATGGCTTTCGAATCTGACGACACAAGCAAAAAAGCAGTAGCATACGTATGTACCAACAAGGTTCAGTTCAAATAATTAATACAATGTTCTGACCGACATCGAAAACATGTTTTCGTTGGTAAAACTGGTTTTCGACCAAAAACTTGTGTTTCGTCCATGTAAAATCTGTCCAACGAAAACCAGTTTTCGCTGAAAACTACTTGAAAACTCGGGTTCCACTCATTCCAATCGGTGTCTTCACTAGTTTTTTTATTATATTTATTATTATTATTATTTATAGTATTTATTTAATTCATTAATGAAAGTAAGAGGTTGCTAATGAAAAAAAATGTGGGAAAAGCATTTTGGTTTTGTTTCTGTGTAGCAAAACTGCAATCAGAGGATGTCAGAAATGTCAACGAAAACACTAACAGCCGGTGTGAACAGCCATCAGCCCACAATTCCAAAACTCGTTTTCAAAGTGTTTTCGTTGTCGGTCAGAACATGGTATAAAAAGTGTCAAACGAAAACTAGTTTTCGCTGAAAACCACTTTAAAACTCACGTTCCACTCATCCATCACGTTCCATCGAAGTGGAAGTCATATTTTATCATCTTTAATACGTCATTTCGGATTTATTGTTAAGACTGCGTTTATACACGAAAACTTTTGTCGCCTCGATTTTTCACATTCCCTTTTGGTGTTGCTCGTTTCATTTACACACGGCGATTTGTGTGTATGCAATTGTTGTTGTCAGCTGTGAACAGCGGTTCAATTTACACAGACGAACGAGAGCACAAAGCGTGTTGCCCGAGCACGAGCAACTCGTTCCCCTCTCCTTTCTTCGTCGCGCTCTCTCCTACAAACGTCGAGTTGCGGCAACAAAAATCGCCGTGTGTAAACGAGCACTAAGTCGACGTTCAGACACGAAAACTTTTGTTGCGGAAACTCGAAGCTAGTAGGGGAGAGAGCGACGAGGAAAGGGGACGGGTACCGAGTCGCCCGTACTCGGGAAACACGCTTTGTGCTCTCGTTCGTCTGAGTAATTCAAGTTGGCGATTCACAGCTGACAACAACAATTGCGTACAAAAGAGTTTCTGTGTGTGAATGCAAAGGGCAACACCAAAAGAGAAATAGCCGATAATAAGACACCCGAGTTTCCGTGTTTGAACGCAGACTAAGGCCCTGTGCCAATCGGTAACTTTTTTCTCCGTGGTGTGACGGGGTGGAAAAATTTGCTATGGTGTACAAATAAATTGAATTTTGCTGTGCCAAATGCAAAGTAAAATTTTGACAGTTGAAAAACCAAACAAACGCTCGTGCGAAAGCTTTATTTTTGTGTGTTGCTGAAATTCTTAAAATTTATATTTATTTTATAATTTGCATGTAACGTACGCTTTTTTTATGCTGTTTCAGCTTTCATTTTCATGTTCACTCCTTATTACCGCCAAGCAATATTATGTGTTATAGCTGTCAAATTCTGACGTTCTTATTCACCACGAGAAATGTCAGATTTTTACTTTGATCCGTCAAAATTTTCTCTTTTCTATCATTTAGCACAGGCCCTAATTGACTGGCCAAAATAAAGTAAGCATGGAAATAAAATGTTTTAATGAAAAGAAATTGAAGGAAAAGTATTTTGGGTTTTGTTTTTGTGTAGCAAAACTGTAAACAAAGGATGAAAGAAATGTCAACGAAAACACCAACAGTCGGTGTGAACGGCCTTCAGCCCACAATCCCAAAACTCGTTTTCAAGGTGTTTTCGTTGTCGGTCAGAACATGGTATAACAGACGTTAACAGACGTTAAAAGTTTTTAGTTTACATTTAATGGAATGAATTTAAAAATTTTTGTACAAGTATCGATAAAAACCGAAGCCTACCCGAATATCCCTTTGCTTCAAGCTATTTGTGGCTTTGTTTCTTTTCTTGTGTCTGTTAAGAAATAAATGGCCTTATTCAGAAAACATAAAATAGGTTTAAAGAGCTTTATAAAGTGACGTTTTCATAAATTTTTCAATTTATAAACCTTTTTAAAGCTACTTTATTTGTTATGAATAAGACTGAAAGCTTGTGTTGTGTATCGGGTAGAGATGCTAGATCTACAGGTCTATTCTGACCGTTACCGAAGATTTTGTAACCGGAAAATTGTATTACCAAAAAATGTTACCAGTTCTTGTCACCGCGATTCTAGGTACGTTGGTAATGCAGTTAAAATATTCAGCAATTCAGCTATGAAGAATTGTGCAAATCCTGGCATTGCATATTTCACGGGGCAATAATTTGTTACCAGCTTATGAGATGGTAACAAAATTTACCGGTTACAAGAGTATACAGAATGCGAAAAGGGTTTAAAAATTGACAGGAACTTTATTTACCGGTTACAAACTTTTTATTACCAGCGCAGAATAGACCTGCTATTTAAGGAAATTGATACGTTTTTTAGAAATCCTTTTTTTTATTTATTGTTTGTTTTCGCTAACTACATTTCACATCTTAATTACCATTTTTAGAAAACATTTTCTACAAAACTGCATACATACAAAAAAAAAAA